CATAACTCATTGAGACTACTTACAGGGGTAATGCCAGCAGTATTTTATCCCTTAATATGCATCACTGTTAAGATTTCTCCCACTTTTGTTTGTACTTTGTGAATGTTCATATCCATGAGAATCCTCTTTGTAAGTGAGAGATCAATCCATAAACTTCTTTGGGCACAGCCCAGCATTGGTTGATTGGGTGGATGAGAGAGTGTGTAGGCTTGGAAGGATTTGATTTTTTATCAGTAAATATCAATATTTCATTTTACACACACAAACTGATGAAAACATATTTCCATTAATGATCAGAATTAAAATGTACAAAGAGGCAAAGGAAAAAAAAGTATTGCTGAATTTGGTATACAGACAGTTTACTTCGTATATGCTGATATGTGATGTTGACAGTTTGTGTTTTAAACATTATAAAGCTTTAACATTTTGAATCTCAGTATCTACCATCATTAAATAATTTTCTGTCCTCACATTTTCCTGCAACTCTGAAAATTTCAATAGATAAAAACAAAAAATGTTCAAACCCGTAATTTTATGCAACTGTGAACATTTAAATAAATAAAAACTGGAAAACGCTTAAAAATAAGTATGGATATCAGTCAAAATTATTTTTAAAATAATTTTGCTAAGTCTATATATAAGTTTGTATATATGTACATTGCATGAAACTTTACCACCTTAAATAATTTTGCAGGTAAAAGATGTATTTCAAATGTCACCAACATGTTTGTAGTAAATCACTCCCACTTGCTATAACAATATAATTGTATTAAATTCATCCTGCCAAACAACATTCTCAGAATTCTTAGTATGAGTGATCTATTCACAGCTTTGTGTTTGAATAATAGGTAATAATTTTGTTAATTTTCTATAGGTGCATATGCTGAGATTAAGTGTTTTAAAGCTGTCGAACAACATTTTATTCTACAGGTCTAAAACAACAAATTTTAAATATAACAAAAACTAACCACTTTCTGAAAGCCACAAAATATTCCACTGCAACACGGTTTCAGATAACATGGTGATATGTGGTTCAGTTAACTGAGAGACTGGATCACAACTGAGATTTTGTAGGTGTTTCTTGTTTAGCCAGCGATTTTGTCATAGTAGAGTTGCATTTGTTGCACAAATCTCTCATTTCCATGAGGCTTTCTTCTATAGCTTTAGCAAACATGGCTGAGGAGGTCTCTTTACATTCTTTAAAGCTTGAGATGCAGAATAATATATGTTCTGGCTGTGGATTATAACATGCCCCATAACCATTGGGGACCACAGGCCCATAACAGCAGAACATTTCCATGGTGGTTGGAAGTTGCATTTGTTGCACAAATCTCTCATTTCCATGAGGCTTTCTTCTATAGCTTTAGCAAACATGGCTGAGGAGGTCTCTTTACATTCTTTAAAGCTTGAGATGCAGAATAATATATGTTCTGGCTGTGGATTATAACATGCCCCATAACCATTGGGGACCACAGGCCCATAACAGCAGAACATTTCCATGGTGGTTGGAACCTG